TGCTCCCCACATACATGTTAAATCTTTAAAGATTTGAAAACCTGTTATACTTCTGTTATCATTACGTCAGGCTTATGCCTTTGGTATAGTCAGGAAGAAGCTGCTTCTGGGTGTAGAGATTAGCATTTGTGTGACTACCCAAATTAGGCTCTCATGACTAGCTTTTCTGTTTAACCTTCAAGGCAAATGACAAGGTTTTCACCATTCAAATATATCATATAATATGACCAGGAACAAACTTCCAGAATAATCTTTTCAAACTACTCTTTGCAAGAGTAACTGTGTATCATTGGAAGAGCCATGATTACCTGGAACTGGTGAAGCTCAGCAGCGTTGGAAGAAACCACTTCTCTGTCAAATATGGAGAGAAGGCTAGCCAAAAGAGTAGCAAAAGGCAACATAAAGTGTTTTCTGTCTTTAAACCACTCTGCAGCAGAAAGATATTATGATACGGAAGCTGTTGCACTGAAACAACATCAAAAATATATTGTGAGTTCTGAGCTCTACTCTTTGGTAGTTTTCTCAAAGTCTTGGGATAATAAAAACATTACAGTGGGGTTTTCCACTATTCTAGAGACAAGTTTGAGAAAGGAATTCAAGCATTTCACATATGAATTCTGAAAAACTGGAACACTTCAGGAAATTAATTTTAGGCATAACATTTTAAAAGGGTGATGCTGAAAAAGAACTCACAGGATTAGTGATGGGAATATGGCTTATGCGGCCTGGTTGGACCTGATTGGACCTTAGTCTAGGAGGTTGCCAGTTAAGAACACATTTGTTTGTGGTAGCCCTAAAGACTGAATTAATTTGGGAAATTTGGCCCTGGAAGATGGCTGCTTTATTTGAAGAACTTGTTCTGCCTTAAAATATCCTTAAAATATCCCCCCAAAGCTTCTGCTGAGAGATGAAATTTCAGAAACTGTGTATCAATGTTACAGTTATTTAAATGTGTTTCAATTTTTGTCAGACCTAAAACTCATAAGAATTTTCTTTCCTATGATCTCATAGTTTGCAAGTCTATTTCTGTCTTTTTTTCCCAGTATCTGAGTTTGCTTTTCTAGACAAATGCAAACATTGTACAACAAGCACAGTAACTGCATGATTATTTACTTAGGGCTTTGCCTTTGCTGAAGGCCTTTCATTGGGCCTTATGTGCAGAGTTGTATGTGCTTAGTTCAGTGAAGTGTGGTTTAGCAAAGTACAGTCAAACAGTAAACATACTGAAAATTTTATCTTACCCTTCCTCTCCTCCAGCACAAAATAATAAGATTATATTACATAGTTATATCAGTAAGCAAGGTAGTTCTTAGATCAGAAACCTCTACCTTGTATTATTTTGGGGAGAGTTCCTTTTGTTTTGCCTGTGGTTTTTTCCCCTGCTTCTGAATTCCATCTGCCTTACCTCAGATAACAGCAGTGATTTTCCATATTGCTAACAAGCACTTTCCTTTCTGTCCCTGGTGTTCTCAAAACACTTGTCCAGTAATGGTTCATAAAGCAACCATGCTTACTTTATCAGCAAATCTTCTGAGAATTCCTTTTCAACTCCAGATAAAAATTCTCACTGTATTTCTGTAAATTCATGTGAAAAACCTTTAGTTTTTAATGCATCTCCAGATAACTACAAAGAAATTGTTTGAAATTCAAACCATCCTGAAGAAGACGACTAAAACCCATGCGTTTCACAGATAAAATGCATTCCACAATTGCCTTGCTTCCAGGGAGGCATACAACCTACCGTGAGGTTCAGGGTGTGTCTAAGGGAATACTTGTGTGTACTGCCCACCCCCACCTCCCGGTGGCCCACAATGCAATAGGACAAGGATCTCTTTTTGTCAGAGTGGGCAAGTGTGTTGTGAGCTGCACTGGAAGCCCTCAGCTGCAGTGCTCTTTACTCACGGAGCAACAGCACCCTCCCCGAGCTGCAGCCAACCCACGTGGGTTTGCTCCAGCATTTGGAGGTGGTCTCCCACAGCTAACTCTGTGCTGTGGGGAGCTCCCTGTAAGGCTGCAGCTCCCTGGAAAAGATTTTGAGCTTCCAGCTGCCTTGGAGAAGCCTGCCCCTGAGGCAAGAACTCAAAGTCACAATCAGGTTCAACAGGGCAATAAGCATGCTACAGGTAAATTCCAGCTCCAGCCTGTAATGGTTAATATGGGGAATTTCAGCTTCCCCATATCTGCCCTTCCCTCCCTTCAGGAAAGCAGCAATAAGACCATGATTTTTGTTGTGTTCTGTTTTGTTTACTGGAATATCAAAGCAGTTTCAAGCACTTCTTTGAGGGCCTCGGGGACATGTTCAAACCTCATATTTAGGGGAACTCTGCTTATATCGTGCTTAGGGATAAGACAAAATAAGCCAAACGAAGCAGCTCTTGGAGAGTAAGAGCTGGCACCTTGTATTTTGGTGCCTTCAAAGGCTATGTGGCTGGAAGTCCTACTTACCTCTCAAGAGGGCGTCCTCATTTTTCAAGGCAAAACTAAAACTGCTGAGTACCGGGAGATGAAGGAAAAGAAACAAACTGAAAAGAAACCATTTGCCAGCAATGAAAGTGGGAGGCTAGACAGAAAGTCTGAGAGGATATGAACACATGGCTCAGGCATGGAGACATGACATGAAGCTCTTGCTACTTCTCCATTTTCGCTAGACTCCATAAGAGAAGAAAATTCTTGGAGATTGAAGAAATTTTTTGAGGACAGAGAGAGTCGTGCCCCTTCCCTTCCAGCACTAATGCTTTTTATGATGCTGCCAGGGTCCCTTGCAGTAGGTCCTGTCTGGAAGACAATGGGATCAGAAGGCCCCATGATCTCCCCTGCATCCCTAAAGGGACAGAGGGCAATGAGAGAGATTTCTTCAGTTCGTCCTCTGAGTTTTTAAGAAGAATCTCTGCTTGTGACCTGCAGATCCAACAGGTGTTGTTTAAAAAACAAAATGCTTCATGGGATCAGATAGTACAGGTCTTCATTTACTTCCAAGAGGGTTGTAGAGGGAAGCAAAAGTGCTGCTCACTATCACTACTACTCTTACAGTTAAGGATTCTTTCCTTCCTTTCTCTCCCAAAGACTCTGGATTTCTCCACAGGAAAGTTTAATCTGTTCAATTTTGTCATCCACTTCCACTGGAAATGCAGGTGCAAACTGAAACCATGAAATTCCAAGGTGATTAAGAGTGTAGAAAGGGGTGGAGGTTTGACATTGACAGTTTGTCTCGGAACTGCAAAGCACTTGTAAGAATTCTCTGACAGCATCCACTTGGGAACCTGCTCATGGGCAGCACGGACCCAGCACCAAAAGTGGAAGGGCTGCAATATGGAGCACTGTTAGTGACACCACGTGTAAATGCCTTTCAGAATAACTCTTTTTCAGTGCTTACTAAGAGCGTACAAGTGTCTGTGGGGAAACAGCAGCATTCCTTCTTCTCAGAGATAAACACTCTACTTGAGGAAATTGAAATTTCCTTTGGAGGCAGCTTGCCCTTTTGGTCCGAAGTGACTATACATTCTTAGCCGTAGACTGCCCTGCAGTGGTGAAGTCAAAATCTGCAGCCTTATTGACTTGTACAGAATCTTTAAACTTCCTTATTAAGTAGTCCACCCATCACTAGCAGAGCCCTTGCAAACTACAGAACTAATGAAAAATTAATGCAGCAAGGAAGATTTTAGATTTCAGGGTAAATATAGTGTGCAGCAAAATGCCACTACTGAATAGTAATATTTTATCTCTTTCATAGGAAACAAAGCAGATTTGATCACACCTTGTATCAGTTTGTCTCTGGAAGTTATTTTCTGACTTCAGCCAAATTTAACTGCAAAAATGAAAATCTCAAAGACAACTAAATCTCAACAGATTTTGAGAAAAGCAGTTTTTGCAGAAGACTAGATGAAAAGTATGGCTGTAGTGTCAGCACAGAAATTGCTGATCAACAAAAAATCCACAGAGGAGAGTGACTTTGTAAGTGTCCCAGGAGGAAATATCAGTCACATCTCACAATGAACATGGAGATAGAAATCCTTAGAAACCCATAGTGAAGCAGAAACCAGGCTTCATTAGTTGCTTTGTAAACTGACGAAACTTCCTCAGATCAGCTACCTCTCCAACTCCACATAAATTAGCTCTCCAATCATAGTGTTGGAAAGCGGAAAAATATCTGGAGTTTCATTTTCTGCGCATTCCTACCAGTGTCTGCATCCTAAATGCAGCACATTTGATAAGCTAGTAGTAGCACAAAATAGTGCCATTGACCCTTTCAAGGTGCTACTGTTGAGGTTGGCCGTTGCTCAAACTCTCAGAAGGGTAAAACACAATTATGTGTTCATTAACAGATACAAAAGAAAACCAAAAGCCTTTCTTTCGTATACAACAGGGGTTGTTTACCCTCATTGTACTGCTAATCTGCTTCAGCTCCCCTTACAGTAAAATCAGATAAACAGGCACTTTTGAATGCAATGTTTCGATGTGTTCTTTGTTGTAAAACAAATGAATGTCAAAAATGGCTATTACTCTCCATTTGCTGTAGAGGAAGCCTGGGATTACAAGCTTAGAGATGGGCATCTGTTTTGCAAAGGTTGGAATTTGGAGAGCTGTTACTATAGTACTAACTGTACATCCTGAAAGCACTGTGAATGAACATATGTGAACATGACAGAGCTAAACGACTTTTTCTGTGAAAATACATAATTGTGATGACCTGAGACAGTTCTAACGTACACAGCCCTGCTAAATTAAGATCTGGTGCTAAACTAGAAGTTTCTCCAAGTAATCTGAATCACTTCATGGCAATTATTCATCTTTGGCTTTGCTATGGCAGACAGAGTCAACTTCTCTCCCACCTTAAACACTGATATTTCAGTTTTTAGGGAGCCAGAAATAGACTCCCCAAAAATTTAGGATGTATATCACTCCACCTCCATTAACTTGAAAAAGAATTTTTCTTCTCTTTTCAAACTCAGGCTAATCAAGGAAGTGCATAAATAACTACAAAAGCCATGCTTTTTGAAATGTGCTTTTAATCATTTAGAGAAAATAAACAGATTGTAAAAGGACCCAAAAGGCTGTGCACTTGGAAGAATACAAATTTGTGTTCTTATTTTGTCACAAATAAATAGAGCACTGTTTAAATTAATCAGAGAACAAACAGGATACATTTACTGGGAAAACCAATGTTCAGAAGTAGTCAAGCAAGTTAAGAATGGTGCACAGTCCTTTCAGTTAAATGCTGCTAGTTTTTTAATGTCTTCATTTTGATGGCAAGCCAACAGCCCTCTTGGTACGGTTCAGAGCAGCCTTGCCATTTTCTTCTCCGTTCTGCAACTCACTGGACTGTGGGTTCTTGCATTCAGTGTCTTGACAGCTGCAGCTTTCCACATACACGTACTTATGTGGCATTGAGTGCCCACCAGGACACTTCAGTACCACGTGCTTCTCAGTAGTCTTTGTTTCTCTGCAGCAGGAACAGCTGTGATCCATAGAATTGGCCTCAACAGAGTATCTATTAAAATAAAAAATGGCAATGTTACTCTATGGCAGAAGCCAACATACAGAAGGAAAGGGTGAAATCACGTACAGAACTCCTGTGAGAAGCTGCAGTTGTGTCTAACGGAACCTCTAAGCTCACCTGACAGAATTTATAATTATAATATTTATATTATAATTATGATTATAATAATATGCTTTTAAAGTTCATTGCACTTGCTGAGATTTTTTTTTTTTTTGTAAAACCATTGGTATCAAAGTCCTATAAAAAACCCCCAGTGATTAGAAAATCATCAGCTTCTTTAGCTCCTTCTCATAATCCTAGCACTGATGGATTTTAAATACACCAGAGTAACAGTTAAGGGGAGACAAAGCCCTGACCTGAATATGAGAACTGCATAGACAAAGGGCTACAATGTCATATAGAATAGCACCACATCAATTACTGGGCTACAAAAGCTACAATTGGATCATGGGAATAAAATGCATATCCCAGTCAGGGCAGTGTTAACAGGAAAGGGAAACAGCAGCTCTTTTTGTTCTCTTCTTAAAAGTATTTTTTGCAGTCTTATGTTCATCAGCTTCCCAAGCACCGTTCCTAACCTGCAGAATATGTCTATATCAGGCTATGAACTGTGTCAAGATCCACCTTTTCTTTGTATTTGTGTGCAGGAGCAACCACAGAAAGACCCTCAGATGATAAGGTATTTCAAAATACTAATAAACTCCATGGCCAATCAAAGTTTTGTGTGATACTAAAGATCAGTTTGCTTCCATGTAAGGTGACTGGTGGCATACTCAGTGATAGGCAGCAAGTGACAGTTTCTTTGGGGAGTTAAAATTGTGTTTTTCCAGTGCTCACTACCAGATGTCCTTCTATCCACTCCCTTATAGCCACTTTGTTGTATATTCCCTCATTTCAGAGAAAAATGTACAGTCAAAATACTCTACTAACACCACCCCTAAAGCATTAGTTTTCTAATTTATTTACTGTATAAAAATTGTAGGTTTGAATCTTCCTTTAAAAGATGTATATGTATTTCATTGTAGATGTTAACTATTGAGAAGCAACTTTTGAGCTTATGAGTATCAAGTTTGGCTACTTTCTGGGCTCAGTCCCATTACAGGAAATAATCCATGTTCTTTTGTGATGATTTCTAGCAAAGGTGGTGTGAACACAAATGACAGACAAGGAAGCTCTTACTGGATAAATAGACCTTATCATATCTGTCTGAATCCCAAGGAAATTTAATACACTTTTCTGCTTTGTATTACGACAAATCAGCTGTTCAGTCACAGATTTCATGATTTTGTGTCTATGATTTGGGGAGCAGATAGTCCCAAGTCTTCTACCATTCTGCAGTCTGTCTGTTTATTGTTCCTTTTATATAAGCAAGCTCAGTGCCAGCAGAATTTAAATCTCATTGTCCGATAAGTTTACTTACAGCGAGAAGGTTCCGCATGTTCCTTCGCACTCAGTCATGACAACTCTGTCCACGGAACGGCAGCCATTATAGACAATGAAGTCTTCTCTGTGACGGACAGAGCACGGTGTACTGCTATCCACAGGTGCACCTACAGGGGAAGAGCAGAAAATACTTGCAGTGGAATAGCTCCAGAAGTTCCTTGCAGTTCAGCATTCCCTCAGCTTCGCTAGTGCGCTCAAAGAAGTGTCTTAAGTGATTTTGCTGCCTCAGCTTAAACTTTTCCAGAGAGATTGGACAGTGAATGCTTGGAATAACAAACATGAATGTAAAAGTATCCATTTAAATAGAAATATATCAGCATCTATTGCTGGAAAATGGCTTGGTTAAAGAAGACAATTCATTCTCTGTATTGTTGATTCAGATAGACTGGGATACTTACAGGTTTTGCAGCAACCATTAGGTAAGAATGAAATAGTTCCCTAAAAGAAAAAAGAAACAGAAAAAAATTATATTGTTTTATTTCCCAGTATTTAAAGAGGCTTTTAGGCCAATAACTAAAGAGAGCAATTCACCAACGGCTGGAAATAACCAGCGAACACTGTGGCATTGGTCTGAATAAGCACAGATAATGTCTCTTCCAAACTTGAAATCTATCAATTTACAAAGGATTGTGAAAATAAAAATAACTCTTTGAAGGAAGTCTACAGTTAACATCAAGTAATTTTTCCTCATAAACTATTCTGACAATAGTTATTGGCAGCCTATTGACTGAACAACTTGTGTTTCTGAACATTCAAGAAAACATGGTTCCTATTGAGACAGGACCCCAAACAAAGCATTCAGCAAAGACTTAGTATCTCAGTGCTGACCAATATTTTGGCTACTAAGAGACAGTTACCAGTTGTAAGCCTCAAATTCTCACCCAGATGTTTTATACACTGGATAGGGCTGTGCGTGGATGCATTAGAAACTTTTGCCCTTGGGACTGAGAAATTATGGTGAAGGGTCATCAGAGCTTAATTTTACTTTTGTTCTTAGTTAGATGGCCTGAACTAAACTGAAGTAATCTATATATGGAGTAGAGGATAAATTTTCCATTTTTACTTACAGGTTTGCAGCTCTCCTCATTAAATGCTGGACAGGTAATCTCAGATGTGGAAGCGATGAGCTGGTCGCGGACCTCTACGCAGCTATAAATGGTGCAGTTGTTGGTAGGATCATTTTTAAACTCTCCAGGCTGCAAGCAAAATGCAAAATGTAATAAGAAAAGCTGAAAGGAGCTTAGACAGAAATTTTCTTGTCCTCTGACAATGACTTTGCTCTTGTTTCCCAATAAATTATTTTTAACAGCTATTTCAGATAGATCGTTACATGTATTGCAATATGCCATACACGGAGAGAATCTTCAGTTTTACATGGGATTTTCCTTGAGAAAGAAAAATGTCTCTAAGTATGTAGAGTACCTTGACAAAATCATCCACACACAGCTAGACTGTTATATGCTAATTAAGAACAACCTTAAACTCCCACCCTACAGGGGCAATACAACTGTTCCATGTGCAGGCTTTACTAGTGTTTATACAGAAATCGAATAACAAAGACAAGCCCAAGCTTGCAGATGTTGAAAGAAAATCTCTTCCCATGGTATTGGATTTGTCATACCAAGAAGAGCCTTCCAGAAAACTTAATTTCATGAGACCTACCTTCAGGTCAAAAATTGTAGATAGGTTTTACTTCAGATGAGTCTTTGATCTTTCAGGTGCAAACTTACACTAAGCCTTGTCTCTGGCAAGGAGATGTTCCCCTTCTGAAACAGGGAACTTTACAAATTCGGTAGAGACACAGAATGTAGAGTATACTTACACTCAAGATGAGTTCAGCATTGTTTGCTGCATGTATAATACACTTGGTCTGCACACATCTTCCACAACATTCGCCTTTCACTGGTTTTATTTCATATCCCTAGATATTAAAAGTAATGAAAAACAATAGCACTATAATAGATGAATTTTTGAGAAATAAATGAAAGCATATTAATCCATTAATTGATTATGCTTTGAAGTGCACTCTAGATTTGTGACTTTCTGTGTTCCGACCCAACAGAAGACAAGTAATAAAAGCAGATTATAGATGGAATAAATTAAAGTACTGCAATAAATATGTCTAATAATTAAATATCCCTCCATTAAGTGCTGTACAGAAATTTCCCAACTAATCTGGCCAATGTGAACTGAATTGTCTCTGAATTTCAGTTACCTGTCCTTTGCTTAATACCACTCCCTGATCAAAGTGATTTTCACATACATGGGTATTTGGGGTTTTTTTGTTTAAGTTTGCCACTTACCGGTGCACAGTATGTATTGCATGGAACAGGTTCACATGAGATGATATTCAGTTGAGTGCTGATGTTAACTTCATTTGTGCATAAACAATTCTGACACTTATCAACGAAGACTGAGGAGTTAGGCTAAAATTTTAAGAAAATAAAAAGCATATATTAATGGTATATAACGTTTGACAGACATTTATTAATTTCAAAAAATCTGTAAATCAAGCAGTGGAAAAGGAAAAAAATCATAAAGAAAATTGGATAGCTATATGGCTAGCCATTTATAAAGACATTTTAAACACTGAATATAATTTAATGTGTGTCTTCATTGAAGTCCCATATAGCAATGATAAACTCTGATATTAAAAGGATAGGTACAATTACTAGACCCAAGAGAATTTATTCCAAATCTAGGTTTGTTTAGAATAATACTTATTCACGTCTTTTAATTTTTGAAAGTAGAGTTTTAAAACTGCAACAATGTACTGACAGTAAATGGGAACTGACTTTTTAAAATGCAAGCACATTTAACCCAAATCTCTCTCCTGATACTGACATAGAAGCAGCTTTTCAATGTCCCTCATACACAGCAACCTTTTGAGGTGAGATTTAGGCTTGGTGAAATTGATGGCCTCCCGACAGAAACTTGAAAATTTCTAAAGTATTGATTGTACTGGATAAACCTCTTCATAGCATTTGTGATCAAGTATACTCACTGGTCTTTAAAGCATTTTTAGAACTTACCAAGAACTCAGCACTCTGGTGAACACAGACCCCCTTGGGAACTGTTAATAAGCAAGAAGTTAGATGTTAACATAGGAATAAAGAATAAAAAAAAAAAAAAAAAATATCTTCACATCACTCTAGTCAAACTCATTTCTTCCACAATGAATTCAAATCCATTGGTTAGCCCTCCATTCTGGTAGCAGACATGACATGTATAAAGTATAAGAACCAATGCTGCATGTGCAAAAAGGGAAGATTAGCCCCAATATATGCAGTCCAGTTCAGAGCCAAGAATGTCCAGTTAATAGGTTCCAAGTACTTCTTTGTTTCAATTACCAAGAAAAAAGTAGTCTTATAGGGACTTTTTGCTAGGTTAAGCTGAGCCCACAGTCACAGTTAATTCTTACATATATTTATAATCAGGAGAATTGAACTTGAGTCACTTGAGGTGTATCTGATTTCCTAGTTGTCATAACTATAGCAGTAGTAACCAATGTTAAATAGTAATTAATTTCTAGAATCTGACTGTGTTTAATATCTTCTTCAATAGGCTATTGCATACAGTCTCATGAAGTGTAATGCTAAATTCTGTAATATATAATGCTAGTCATTGTAATATATTTCCAAGGAACTTACCACATTGGTACACAGGACAGCACTGACCACTGGGAATATGAGAATGAACTTCAAAACCCAGTGAGCACTTGGGGACTTTAGCTGTGCAGAAGCTTGTATTGCATTCTGAGGGGAAAAAAAAAAAAGAATAAGCCAAAAAGTACACTAAATCACAGCTATTAGAAATAAACATCTACCAAAGCATTTAGGATGAACTTTCCATTGCTAGAAAACAGTCCAGATTCTCTTCAAATAAGCAAATTGCAGAAATGCATTTTTCCTAATAAATCTGGGCACTGGTTTGGGGGTACCGCATTAGTTTATGAAACTTTTTCTACTACGTAATTATCCTGTGTTAATAAAGTATTCCAATTCTATGCAGAGAGGTAATGAACAGCTGTTGCTCTCTCCTGTGTCATAGGCAACTGCTGCAAAATGAAAATCCACAGAGAATTTTTTCTTGAATAAAATGTGGTCCTTAACTCAAGAACTAGAAATTGAGTTGCACTGAGTCCCATAACTGTAGATTCAGTTATCCTGAATCATTTCAATATTAAAATGCATTGTCCCTAACGCTGGGCGAGCTGATTTTAAAAGGTATGAGGAAAAATACTATTTTGAGACTAACTGCTGTAGCTCTCTGGTGCTAAAGTAGTTCAGTCTCTTTCTAAGTCATATAGAAAAACTAGAAACATAGTTTAAACTCACTGCAGGTGACAAGAGGGCAGCAGGAGTCTTCAGGATTGACTTCGGTGACCTCATAGAAGCCTTCTCCATCACAACTGACCTTATGTTGTTCAGGACATTCATGAGGCTGGCATATGATGCCATGTTCCCCTTCCAGGCAAATACAATCCTGACAGTCTACTGTAAACTCTTCCCCAAACTGTCATTGAAGAAAATAAAATTAGCGATTGCACAGTTACCAATTGAAAAGAACAGAAGTAAAATCAGGAATAAAAAGTTGGGAAACCATAAAACAAGCCTGCACCAGTGGAGACCGCTCTCTTCTCCCAACCCCCAACTTCTACTTTAAATCCAAAAGCATATGGCATTGTACCTCTCTTGGGATCATATCCACTCCAACACAGCCTGTGAAAATAGCAAAATAAATCTCCATTACCAGTAACATACCAGTAGGCATCTCTACTATATGTTGACTGCATACAGTCAGATCTGTGTTGCACACGTAAGAAGGAAACAACAAAGAGGAAGCAAACGTGCATCCAGCTGAAGTGATAAAACTCACCACAGGTTTTCACGCAGACATCCACGCCAGAGTCATACAGCATTGTTCCATTAGGACAGAAGCAGCCTTCCACTTGTTTAGTTGAAGTTTCATTTTGGTGACTATGAGGCAAAATGTTCAGAGGAACACCATTACTGTCATAGGCACATAGAGGAGGATTATGCCAAATAACCTTTCACTGAAGATAGAGAGGCAAATGATCTGCAGATTTGTGATTAGGGATTGTCTGTGTTTGGTCTAGCTGAACAACATGAACAATACAGGCACTCAGACTTAGGATCAACAGAATAGTTGTAATAAATTTGACAGTTTAAAACATGAAAGGAGGTTGATTTTCCTCATTCACCTGTGCATTAGATATGAGTGACCAGTTGTAGAAGGTATAACTAACTAATTATTTACCTAACTAACTAAATATTTACCTTGATTTGCAGGTTGGCTCTTTCATAGGACCACATGCTCTGTACTCTTTTCCTGAGGGGCATTCGTAAGCTGGAATGGAAGAACAAAAAGGAGGAAGAGCTCAGTAACTGTCATATAAAAGCCCCAAGATTTTATGCCAAGAACTTCAACAGTGTTAACTCATTTTCCTATGTATCTAGACAACCTTGAGAAGAAAGGAGAAAAAATCTGAGATATCAGACTCATGTCTTTGAATGAAATTATCTTTTGCAATTTAGCCATAGTAGGGCACCATCTTTACATTAAGGTGATAAAGCCAAGAGTCTACATCTTGATTACAACTCTTTTTCATAATTTCAGTGCCTTTTGGACAAGTTCTCAAAAGGGAGTATATTCCTACTCTTTGTCCTCTTTTTACTACAGCTGAAAAATAATGCATATATCACTAAATAGTGATCTGCTGATGCTGCAAAACACAAAACTGTCTGTGTACAGAAAAGGTACATAGTCGTACAGATGTTTCTGGCACAGTCAACAGATGTTTGTTTTTGCAGGTTCATTTATATTTCCATTATTAAAAATGTTAGCTGCAAAATTACTTAAGGAAAGCGGCTGGTGTGAGTTATTGGTGTCTTCACTGCTCGGAAAGCAGTATGACATTACTGTCGAAATATTTCCATACAAGCTTCTCTAATAATTCAAGATAAATGGCCAAATACTTACAGCATACACCATTGGTGTGACTTCTCCAGTCGATGCATACACCTTGATCAGCACAGGTGGCAGCATAGATCTGCAAACTTGAGCATTCCAAGTCCAGGTTGGGAAGTACGCAACTATCAAAAACACAGGCTGCGTAGTACTTTTCAGGCTGCACAAACTCATGGCATGGCTTGAACACACTAGAAACAGAAATATTTATCATTATTAGTTACTGAATGATCCATAAATTTTTCAGTGTGCTTAACCTGGTATGACATGGCAGCAGGAGATGTGGACATGGACTATGGATAAGAGATTTTTACTGAGAGCACTTATCCATATTGTAACTTTTCAACGTATCTTTAAGTATTCTCCACTCACCTACAAAAAACACTCAGACACAAGTATTTTCAGTCCAGGAGCTACCTGAATATTATTGACTACAACCACGTGCTCCCTCTTTAAAGACATTTTGTTTGGTTTTGGTTTGTTTGTTTTTTTTTTCTGACATGAAGTTCTAAAATTTAAGATCTTTGTTTTCAGTTGGACTCTGTTTTCTGCTAAGTGAATGTGGGAAAAGGCCTAGGACAGAGGAGGGCAGAGACTGTAGAAGAACATGAGAACATCAATGAAGGTTAACACAGCAGTCAGAGGGTTGAAAGAAACTGTTGGCAAAGAATAACAACTAGAAAAAGGAGTGGAAGCAACCCATAAAGCTACAAGAAATAAAAGGTAGAAAGACTTGTCATTGAAAAATTAATCCTAAAATTGCCAATTCAGTTGAAGATCAAAGGCTTGTAAAACCAAGAGGAATGTGTACCTTCCCAAAAGAATCTCACAGATGGAAGATTCTTTGCAAGGCTGTGTTGGGGTTGTGCTAGGTGAACTTGTAGGACTTAGGCCTGGAGAGCACTGTGGTTTGGAGGGATCAACAACCTGCCAGTGATCTGCCATGGTTTCACAGTTTTCTGCAATGTTTCCGTTCGGCAACATGCAGTCATCCGCCGTGTTGTTATTGCAGGTACCTAAGATTGGTAAGCGGAGAAAGAATTCACTCAAAAATTTGTAATCAAATTCCATTCATCTTTGTAGCAGGGCTGCCATTATGTTTTTCTGAGAGTACAAATATTATAAGAACAAGCCTTACCGCACTGTCCCTGAGTGTTGTTGCCAAACAGGCTGTAGGGCATTCTGATAGAAAAGGACAAGCCATTGTAGGTCACATTCATTTTTAGCTCAGGAATTTCCACAACACGATTTATGCCTGACTCATAGATGCTCACACCAAACTTTTTATAAGGTAAAGCCACTATCTGGTTGTTTACTGTCACCTAATAAACAAGGGAAAACAGAGAACAGGCATATATTTAGTTTGACTTTAGAAAACAGTTGACTGTTCATTTGCATTGCAGAGAGAATGTAAAGGTAAATAGTAACCTTTTCATTGGTATCAAATATCCCTGTGTTTCCTTTTATGTTACTGGAAAGCCAAACTTCTCTGAGCCAAAAAAAGCCCATCAACCTCTGGTAAATTAAGATAAAATTCAGGGTTTAAGCTAGCTAAATCCTAAACACTTAACAGACTCATTAGAGTGACTCTGGCATTGAGGACACCTCACGAATACAGAATATAAAATTCTCCTAAATTCATACTGTATAAAGTTTTAATTTTCTTGGAATAAAGGAGATATGCTTGTAGGAAAATGGAATGAAAGAAATAGGACTAAATCTGTATTATCTATTTAAATACAGTAGCCAGGATATGATTCTGTGATTCTGTGAACTAACACTACTACTTTTACTCAGCAATGGCCGATTTCTTTGCTTTGGAGAAAAAAAAGGAAGTCTAAATGTTGTGAATTTTCAACAATATGCTGCAATCTAACTTTAATATTCTCACACAGTAATGTACAAAAATAAACAGCATAAAGCTTCAAAAAAAACCCAAACACTTCTCATCCAATTTTGAAGTCCCAAAGCTGGGACATCATGTTTATCAATGAAATAAACATGTAAGTGCCCCTATTCCAAAAAATTAAAAAGATGACACAAATCAAAGCTAGTAATGGTACTTCTAAAAAAGGCTTAAGGCCAGTACTTTATTGTTATGTCTGTTTTACATTTGTTGTTTCCTTTGTTACATTAACGTTAATCCTAAATCGACTTATGTTATATCCTTAACTCTTAGTAATTTGTCTACACTTAAGTATTTAGGAGAGACAGGGCACTGAAAATATTTAAGATTAAAAAGACAAGAAGTTGCAGAATTTTTTCTCCCAAGTTCAGAGTCAAAAAAGCAGTCCTTCAAATCAGTCCTATTTTATAATCTACACTGTTATTGAATCTAAAACACAGAATATACTTAGCATTTTGATGTGATATTACTATTTGAATCAAAAAATCAACGGTAACATTCTCTCATACCGTTACTTGTAGAGTATTTGGTTTCGCTGTTGTCATCCTCACTTCCTGGGTTTCATGTCGCACAATGAGCGTTCGAGGACAGGAGACCACATCCCGTGTGTCGCAGTGGTAGTTATCAATGTAGACACCAAAGTTGTCAACTTTCTTATTAATCTCTTCCACAAGGACATATGTACAATTCCCTTGGTAGCTGTAGTACAGTCCATCAAAAGTCATGTAATGTGGGTCTCCCCAGCCAGTGCAGTAGCCTAAAAGAATGTACAGCAAAGTTAGACTCTTATGGCAACATACAGAATCAGATCAGACTACAAACAAAATCCGTAGATGTGGGAATCATCGAACTTTAGGCATTTAAGTTTTTTAAGTGTGTTTGTCAATGAGTGAGCTCATTATGTAGGAGTCACCAATAAAAAACCAGGCTCTTTCAAGGCACAGTTCATCTGATGTTACTGACAGACAACTGAGAATAGGATTAACTGTACCATAGATATATCTTTATCAATAGTCTGATCAAGTAATATATAGGCTTCTACCCTATAGTCTCTATCTGAACACTTAAATCCTGCTTTGGGAGGATTCGTGACAGTAGTATTGTTCCCTCAGGAGATGAAATACTCAGCAAAATATATACTTACAATCACATTCCCAGTGCCAGCAGCATCCATCCTCGTCAATGACTGGCACAGGAGAAAGGTTATTGGCACAGGTAGGTTTAGGAGGTGGATTACAGATTATGGGAATCACCTGGACGATATTGTCTTCTATACAGATTGCCTTAGTGCAGTTACAGAGCCACCATGAGTCACCTTGCTGTGTTTGAAAAGAGAGGGGAAGGGGGAAAACAGAGAGAAACCTTATGAAACAGTGAGTCTGATTATCTTTTGCAGGTTTTTAAAACACCATATGTTTAACAACATTTTTTTCCCCACCAGAAATCTGAAAAGCTGCTAAGTGGAAAGCATTACTTAAAAAAGTCAAGGCGCTAAACTAAAATGGGAACCACCTTTTCTAGTCTCAGCTATCTAAAAGTTAGATGTCAGATCTAATCTCATCACCTAGACAGCTTTTCTAAGCAACAGTGAAAGACACTGATCAATATATATGTTCAATATATGATCAATTCCCCTCCATGAATGTTTAGAACAGATTAACAGCTAAAGCTACAGTGAATACCAGCTCTTCAGGGAGAAATGTCCAAGGTGATTATGTGCACACACTGTGATTGTATGCATTTTTCTATCTTCCACTGTTTTTTCAACCATGTATAATTTTCATTCCTGCAGATCTACTGAGCAAGTTGACAGGCATCTAATCTGTGAGGAGGCTTTAGAATTATATAAGACATTAATTTGTCTGAGTTAGAGGTGGAGGGTTCAAAAAAAATCAGAACTCTGAGTCAAATTTGACGAGCATTTGAATCTGGTGATCTGTTTCACAGTTGTCTCCTGAAACCAGAATATGAGCAAGTATGACTCTTTCAAAACTCAGATAAATTCAACCCTCTGGTTTCTTGTTGAGCTGCACTGTAAACACACAACTTTTACCCACTCTGGACCCAGTCAAAAGCAGAAACAGAAAAGATAGTTTAGCACCCCTTAGCTCTTGGTTACCTCTTCACCAGGGCTATCCTGCAGTAAAGAGAAACACTGAAAGGGGATCTAGCTCCTTGAAGAGAGCTTTTTAAAAACTATCCTTGAAGAACTAATAGCAGCATATATCAATCTGAATATCATTAGAGGTCTCGCAGATACCCAAGAAAACTGAAACAAATAGAACAGACTGAATTTTCATTTTCTATCCAGTTTAATGCCTACCCCGTATGTTAGTAACATTGAAGTTATGTATCTAGTCTCCATCCAAATCAGAATTAGGAAAAAACCTATGAAATCTACTCACCTCATAAGATTCATTAGGTAAAATAGAACATATTTTTTTAGGAGTAGTTGGTGTTAGACTTGTAGTAGAACTTGAGCCAGTAGCTGGAGTAACTGTAGAACTTCCTGTGGTGGTGACTGCAGTTGATGTTGCATTTGGTCCAGATGTAGTAGTAGAGCCAGGGGGAAGAGTTTTGAAGGTAGTGGATGTGGTGGTTGCAGTGCTTATGGTAAAACTGCTAGAGGTGGTTCCTGAAGTGGTGGTAAAGGTTTTTGTTGGAGTAGTACCAGAGGTGGTGACTGGAATAGGGCTGGTTGATGCTGATGGCAGAGATACAGTACTGCTAAGAGTAGACCCCAGGGAGGATGGTCCTGAAGTTGTGGTGCGGACAGGGGGGGTATGTGATCCTGTTGGAGGGCTTGTGGTCCCAGTGGTAGTGGTCTCATGGATAGGTGTTTCTGTTACTGGTGTGGTGCTGGTGGATCTTGAAGGTGTGGGGCCTGAAGTGGTAGTTTTGGGGGTCGATTCTGTTGGAGTGACTTCAGAGGTGGTGACTGTCTCTGGGCTTGTTGACACGGAGGATGTTGATTGTTCAATAGTGGTGCTTCTGGTAAACATGGTGCTTCCTGTTTCTGTTGTTCTAGTTGTTGGCAGTGGAGTAGCTGAAGGAGTAACTGGAGTCTTTGTCGATATCTCTAATTCAGGTGTTGTACCCTCTTTATGACAGGGAGAAAACACAGTATTTTAAGTACGGAAATTGCATTTTCTTCACAACTTCATCTCATTTTCTAATATGCAAATGTAATTCAACAAATATAAGCACAGGGTCTTTAGATAAGAATAAAACAGACACAGTTTTATTAATGGTTTTTGCATCACAGAGGGATTATTAATAAAATCTCCTATATCTTCCATAGGAGACATTGATATAAACAATTGATCAGTGTCAGGTGGAAGAGCTTCTGTAATGTTAAAACTTTATAATGCAGAGAAGAGTTCAGCAGTCCTAAATCCAGGGGAATCCATTCAGTGGTCAGTGCTCAGTGAACTCTTTGGTTAATTCTGTATTGGTATCTTACTATGTTCTATGGATAGACCATTGTTCCCTGTGCTACTTCATGTGGCACATTATTACCATCATTGATTATGCTCAGTCATTTGATTCTAATGAAACTGAGCAGTTGTTGGAACCAGTATGCGTTCTCTATCTAACTCCTAGACCTTTAAGACTACTCACCCATAAGATATTTTGGGATGTCAGGAACCCCAAATTCACTTTTCTGGTTTTTCATTTTCACATGGCCAGTTTTCATTATGGGAGCTAATGCAGACTCATTTAAAATAGTCTTTGATCAGCATTTTAAAAAGTGTTCAGGAAACTCAGAGGCCAGCCTCAGAGCCATCTGTGCTTTTATAGCATAATGTGACACATGGCAGATAGAGTAGTACTGTGTACATAATAACAGTGCAGTAACAATGCTGGAGGAAGTAAGACACACTGTTTCTGCCCACGAAATCCACAGAGAGAGTCCTTCAACAAAAATTAATTCGCATCAGGGTAAGAACAGGCAAACCCCTTCATGTACTTCATGTATTCTTACAGAGGAAGATTACCTGGGATGGTAGAGGATATTGACATTGCTGTCAAAATGTTAGCTTTGTATGATTTTTTTGGAAATATACAAGACCCACATTCCTGCAGAGTATAAAAACTAAGACCCATGGTAAGCTGCCAATAAATATAAATTTCTCAAAGCAACAAAGGAAAAGAAAGCCACATTACTTATTGGTAATGTAGTTGGAGCCTGAGGGGTCCTGGTGTTAATATTTATAGGAGCGGAGGTGGATGTTGGTGATCCAAGAGTACCAATTGTGGTTGTCCCCGGGGTGCTGCCGCTGGTGGTGCTGATGGGGGGCATCGGGGTGCTGGCAGTGCTGGTGGATTTTTCCTCTGGTGGTGTAGTGGGAGTGGTTGTTGATGTTGTTGAAGGGGGTGGCGTGCTCGGTGTCGATGAACCTGGGCCTGTTAGAAAGAGCAGGGGCAGAGAAAAGAGACAAAGGCACAAGACGCATGAGTGGGACTCCATATGCTCTGAATGGAAATTGCATGTTGGGCAGCTGCCACAGACCTACAGCGCTCAGGACAGTCTTAGCACAGGAAAGGCCTATATAACTAGCCCCAAGAAAGTAGACTCCTTGCAAATCATGGCTCTGCTTTCCTAGCAAAGAGATTACAGATGGTGCCGGAAGTTGCCTCACAAAATCAGAAAGACCTACCAGGAGGAGAAGTAATGATTTCAAGCAGCCTTGGGAATTCTATCTCTGCCTTATTACCTAAACATCTCACTAACTCATGGAGTAAGAGCTGAGTGTGGAACATGTTTATCAGGGAAGGGACTATGCCTAGGAATATATCATAGGATTTCCCTGCAATGTAATGTCAGCCCAATGAAGGGCTTCCCACAGCACTACTGGATGTCATCAGCCTAAGTGCATAGTTCACATCAAGTGGCAGTCTGCAGACTGAAACTGTTCCAAAAAGCCTGCTAGGGAAATCCTTCCTTCCTGCTTCTATAACCACTGCCAACCCTTAGCACTGATAGGGAAAAGGAGGAGGAGAAATGGAGGAAAGTCAGCACAGCTGTGCGCAAACAGTGCCTAAAATACCAGTACCAAAAAACAACCCCCCCCACCCCAACTGTATGCTATAGGTCCATTGACTACATTCTTGCCAGCTGAAGGACAAGGTCCTACAGCAGCAAAAGCAAGGTTTCCCATGAGTTCAGCATCTGTCTAAGCTGGATATCAGGATGAAATCTGTCCCTGCAGCCCGGTTGAGTCAGGGAAGTCAAGACCTTCTGCCCAGAACACATAAATTCTTATTGCTTCTGAAATAACCAGCCCAATGGCCAGCTTTGGGCACAGGTCACTTCAGGGGATGGCCAGTAGTTACACATATCTCTGATCCCTTATAGAGGCAAGAATAGCCTCTGAGATTAGCTCAGTTGCCTAGAGTGTGGTGCAAATAACAGCAAGGTTGTAGGTTTGAACCCTGTAAGAGCCATTCCATCTCAGAATATTCTTTCGAATCCTTCTGTGAAATGGAGGTGCTCATGAACCTCCACTGCCCCCCAAAGCAAGGGAATATATGAGAGCACAAAATGCAGAAGTACCTGGAGTTGGTAGGGTGGTGGTGTATGTTGGTGTGGGCATGGATGTGCTTGAAGTAGTTGGGGTGAGTGTTGGTGTTCCAGTAACAGTTGTGGTTGTCCCTGGGGTGCTGCTGGTGGTGGTGCTGCTGGGGGGCATCGTGGTGCTGGCAGTGCTGGTGGATTTTTCCTCTGGTGGTGTAGTGGGAGTGGTTGTTGATTTTGTTGAAGGGGATGCCGTGCTCGGTGTCGATGAACCTGGGCCTGTTAGAAAGAGCAGGGGCAGAGAAAAGAGACAAAGGCACAAGATGCATGAGTGGGACTCAATGTGTACTGAACAGACATTGCATTGCTTCTTAGGCAGCTACCACAGATGAAAAGATGTCAGCCCACTCATGGCACAGGAAAGGCCTCTATCATTAGCCCTTCATTTCTGCCCCCGGG